GATGCGACCACTGAGGCGAGCTAATGTCCACTGTTCCGTGTCCCCTATCCGATGTACAATGTACCGGGTCCGTGTCCACGCTGACTTTTGCATCCAATTAGTCCTGCCTGCGGCGACGGTGACACCCGCCCACACTGCCGGCTCTGCCTTGATTGGGCGTTCTCCTAAAATTGCACACTTCCTTCTGCAGGAGCCTGTCGCCCCTCCGGCAGCGCGCAAAAGTATGCTATAAACTTTGGTGGCAAGTTTGAGCGCATAACGCGGAAAACTTTGTTTCCGCCCACTATTTTAGCTATTGTTGTGTGTGGTGGTGTATGGTTCGGCGTTGTTAATGTGATTTATGTATTTTTATGAGAAGTTAACACCCAAAGACTTATGCTCACTTACGGAAGATACTTACTTTTGTACTTATAGTGAATGGAATGCTTAAATTTATGTTTAATTGAATATTGCTTTAAATAAATGGGAAGAGCACAAACAAGTTAATCAAAATTGATGAAAATGTAGTCACTTGTTGAACTTACACATAAAGATTTCAAGTGCAGTACCTGTAAAAAAAATAAATAAATGCTTTTAATTTAATTTGTAATTATATAATATATATTAAATGTAATTATGCCCTTACAGGGTATTATAATTTCAGTTAAAAGCTTGGAAAGCAGTAAAGGAGCCATTTCCGACCCCATAAATCATATATATTCTTGATCAGGATCAACAGCCGAGTCGTTCTAGACATGTCCGGTCGAAAAATAAATTTTCTGAATTTTTCCGAAAAATGAAAATTTTATAAGAGGTTACATCATTAAAATTGTCAAAATTTGACGAAAAATTGACTTTTTAAATTTGAAAACTGATTATGCAGATTTGTTAACCTATTAAAAAATAGCACAGAACTGATTTCCGAATTGAAATCAATGAGTTTTTGGCTGTGTTATGAGTTTTTTAGACTATGATTTTTGGACAAAATTGTTTGAATTAATACCTTTTGTCAAGGTTTTATAATATAATTTAAAAACTAACAATAGCATCAACAAACGCAGTATTCAGATGAACTAGTACAATAACAACTAGCACAGAAAAGCTTTCCGAATTGAAATTAATGCAATTTCGGCTTAATTATGATGTCCGAAAAACTTATATTTCTCATAAAAATGGTCTGTTTTTATACCTTTTTCGTTGGGTATAATTTATATTATTATATTATATTATATTATTTATATTATATATTTTTTTTAATTTTTTCGAAAATTGAAATTTTATAAGGGGATATATCATTAAAATTGTCAAAATTTGACAAAAAATCGAATTTTTTAAAATTAACATTTGAGTATGCAAATTTATTAACCTTATAAAAACTAACATAGAAAAACTTTCCAAATTAAAATTTATGTATTTTTGGGTTAGTTATGAGTATTTTAGACTTTGATTTGTCGAAGAAATATTCATATAAATATATGAGGTATGATCGGTTTCCGATTAGATCCTATGATTCAATTACAATTACCAAGACTATATAAACTTCGCCTTACCACAGTTTGTTTTCTTTCAGATTTTGTTTAATAATTTACCTTCAATAAGCGACTCTAAATATATTCATAAACAATACTCGTTCAACTGCCTTAAAGAAATAAGTTCTTTCGGACAAAAGCCAAAGTGGTTTACTTTTGACTATTATTTTCTTTTTGAAATTAAAACAACATCTAACAAGTGATTTATTTACAGACTTTTATTTGAATAAGGAAAGCTAATTTACCAACTGTCCAAAGTACTAAGACTTGAAATTTAAGTCAAGAGGCCTAGGCCAAACAGTCGAAATAAAGTTTTGAGTAATCCCATTAAATTTTCAACAGTTGAACCTAACTCTGCCATCGGTTTTCAAAGCCAGAGAAAGAGCAGGATAGAGAGAAAGAGAGATAGATAGACAAAGTAGGATGGAAAGAGAGATAGGTAAAGGGGTTAAAAGAGTTGTGCAGATGAATGTAAACACAAGGTTACTAGAGCCCCGTGTATATGCAATCAAATAATAGTTTTATGCACCACTCAAAAGCCCTTCTATGCAATGCATCCTGTCTAACAAATCCTTAGACAGAGCAAGATAAAAAAAAATCTGCAAGTAGAGAGTGTGGAACTGTGCAGGAGCACATCGTCTGTGGCAGAAGCAATTGGCCAACTTCGGTGAAACCGCAGGCTTATGCAAAATGCACTTGCCGCTTTGCAACAAATCCCCGAAACTCAGACCAAGGGGTGACCCTAGAACCCAACCCTTTTTGCTGCGAGACCCTCAATTGCAGAAGGATTCTTTCCCTGAAAAACGAATTGAAAAGTTGTTCCCATTCACATTTTTTGCGAGCCACTTTCTTGCACGTACCAAAGATGCCAAAGGAAGAAAAATGCAAAGAGCAAAAACTTTCTTTTTATATTCGAGGATTTACCCTCCTTTCCGTTTTGATCCCACTCGAAAAGGACCGCAAACGTTTCTCATATACATTTCAGCTGAAGCTGGTACCAGGACGTGACCGAAACGAGGAATTAGGTGGACCGGGCGGAGCATGAAGGAGAGCAGCAAACTTTCCCCTCGCCAAAGGAAGCGGCAACTTGAAACCGTTTTAGTTGCAACTTTATTTATTTATCAACTATATGCTAATGAAACCACTATGCGGCGGCGTTTCCGCCTTCTGGCTCTGTCTGTGTCTATGTCTATGTCCTTGTCCCTGTCCCTTCTGCTCCTTTGCGGATGCGGAGTTCCCTTCCTGACGGTTCCCACACACTGGCACACAGACTTCATCCATATACAAACACACAAAGAGACACAATCGCAGGCACAAACAATTGGTCTCGACTGCCTTCCGCTGATTATTCCAGTGGTTTCCTAGTCCCCAGTAAGGAGCTTTAATATCTGACACCTGTTTTGGGCAATCGCACTTCATTGTTGGGGGCGGAGAAAGGTATACCTCCTACAGGCACACTACGAGAAAGGAAAGTCGAGAGGCTATTACTTTAAATAATGTTTGTATTCTCTTTATAAGCATCACAAGTAAATTATTATTATTGTTTGTCTGTTAGTGAGTTAAGTTTGAGTACAGTATTCGCTTGGTGTTCTACTTTACCTTCAATTAATTATTATATTTAATACATTTTTCCAAGTGCAAAGTTATCCTATGGGCTTCAGAAATCATTAGACAGCTGTCATATGCAGCATTCGGTGGCACCGCTTGTCTGTGGCAAGGTAGGCAGTGGGGGAACACGGGGAGGTGTTCCTGGCAAGGACCGACAAGTAGGAAACGGGGATTCCGCCTGGGAATCCAGTCACTCTCATTTAATATATAATGAACATTTGATTAGACTGCCGTAACACAGTTAAGTTTGAAATTATTCAACAATTGCTTTCAGTTATTATTTAATTTAAAATTTCGAGACAACTGCAAAACGATTTTAATACAACAGTGCACTCAAGAAACGATTTGTTATTTTCCATTAATGTGGGGTATTTAAGACACAAAACTTTCATCGGCTTAAGATTTTATCATTAAATGTATCTTAAATTATTAATAACTTTCAGAGCCGATCGAAATCGAGATGGAAAGCTGTCCATCCAGGAGTTAGGCCAGTACATTAACCGGCGAATTGTGGAGCACATCGATGAGGCAATCTTGAACAATGCCCGTGAGTTCCGTCGCGTGGATATTGGACCAGCGGATGGACTGATCACCTGGGATGAGTACCATCGCTTCTTCCTGCGAGAGCACGGCATGACGGAGGCCGACATCGATGAGCACGATGAGATTCGGCACACGACACTGAATCGGCGGGCCAGGGAGGACATGATGCGGGACAAGGCCCGCTGGTCGGAAGCCGCTCGCACCGATCTATTCACTTTGACCATCGATGAGTACTTGAGCTTCAGACATCCCGAGTCCAGTGTGTCCAATTTGCTGGAGCTGGTGGATGACCTGCTGCGGCAGTTCGATCAGGATGGCGACGACCAGCTAACGCTGGAGGAGTTCTCCGACCTAAACGTAGACGATGATGATGATCTGCTGCGCAAGTCCCTGATCTCCAAGACGCTGGTAGAGCGACGCGAGGAGTTCAAGCGGATCATTGACAAGAACCATGATGGCAAAGCCGATCGTGGTGAGCTCTTGAACTACGTGAACCCGAAGACCCCGCGATACGCCCTCCAGGAGGCGGCCACCTTGTTCAGTCTGTGCGACGAGAACAAGGACGAGCTGCTGACCCTTAAAGAGGTGAGAGTCCAGAGAACTTCCTAGAACAAGTTTGTATGTGATACTAATTTAATGAAACTTGATTCTTATCTTTGCAGATGACTGACAATGCCGAGATCTTTCTGCAATCCAAGATGATAGACACGGCAAACAGTTTTCACACAGAATTCTAATTATCGGTTGCGTTGCCTTTACCTATACCTTTCCCTTTGAGCATTTATAGTGATATTAATTTGTAAGTTTTTGCACCTAAATACTACAAGTTCGGTTAGACGCAATGCATTTTGTGTTCAATTTTATACTTTAGAAGATGTAGGATCAGATGTAAAGCATGAAAGGACAACATTTCTCATGTGATTCTTCAATAATTAACTTGTAAGCATGCTAAGCAAACGTAAATTGGCACACACACAAACAGATATACCAACTAAATATACGTAATTTTATGTAACCCTAATTATAAGTGTATGTGTGTGTTTTTTTTTGTGGGGCGCGATATCCTTTGGCAGACATGTCGCCATTAATTTCCCTACTCATCTGAACTCATCTGGCCTCGCTTATCTCAGATTACAAATGATTTGCCCCTTAACAAAGTATGAAATTAAATTGTAGCCGCCCTCGAAATCCCCTTAAGGACATCCTCCCTCCGGGCTGACAAATCACTCCACATTAAGGCTAAGTCCTTGTTCAATTTGTTTGTCCCTTGCTGCCGCCTCTACTCCTCTCCTGTAAACGAAACACGATGATAAATAAGGCAAGGCACGAATGATAAATAAGTGTCACTTGCAATAATTTCCCAGGAATCGACGTAACTGCTCAAAATTGACTTTTGTCATAGAAAACACAGAGCGAGATGCGACTGGTCCGCATCATGGCGCTGCGCCAGCGTCTGGCTGACAAGCTGGTCATGCCGGAGCGTCTGAGGGACACCATCGTGGAGAAGTGGATAAAGTGCTGGACCAGTGTGGTGCGCGACTACACTGAGGTGGCAGTTGGAGCGGTGCGCGAGTCCTATGCCCATCCCAGGAGGGCGCTGGCCTATGGCACTGGACTGGTCCTGCTCTACCAGACTGTGGCCAATAATCCCGGCGAGGAGTATTTCATGACGCAACTGCGACGGGACAACAGTCTGATGATCACTGTGGCTCCAGATCAGCAGAATCCCGTTTCTGCGGAATATTTGCTCATGTTGGAGCGAGCCATCAACCAAAAGAAGCTCCGCCTCCTCTCGCTGGGCATCTGCACCCTGGTCTGGGTGGATCTATACGGCGAGGATGACTGCACATATCCGGCTATTTGTGAATACACCAAGGTGAGCTACCTCAACTTCCATGAGCGCATCATCGATGTGGGCTTTTGGAGCCAATACTGGCGGCTCAAGTGGAAGATGCGCAACTATGATGTGAATTACCTGTAAGGGATCTGGATCTGGATTTGGAGTAGCTGCTCTTCCCTTAAGTCAACCTATGTTTATTGCTCCATTTTTAAAACAGAATATAACGTGTTATATATACAGCCTGACGAAGTCAAGGAGATCTCCTTGAGAGGGCATTTCACAAGTAATTGACTTTCTGAGGGGTGTTAATACTCTTCCAGTTTGTTAGCTCAGAAAATCATTTAAAGAGTACGCCGAATAGTGATGGATTTGTTGTATACAAGATAAGAACGAGCAGGAGTCGAGGCAGGATGTACTTAGCTACGTGACATGTGTGTGGGGGCAAAAGAAGCCAGTAAGGATAACGTTACGGGCATGATAATCCCCAGTCCAAGTCGTATCTAATCAAAGGCAGCCCCGCCAGCCACTGAGGGGAGAGGAGCTGAAGGATCAAGGGACTTGCTCTACCCGGACCCAACAATAAGCGAGCGGTGGTGGGTAATTGAATCTAATTGTTCGGAAGCGCAGATAATGAGCACGTAAAATGCCAAGGACACGTTGCCAGCAAGTGGGTCCTTGCAGGGGAGAATCAACTGGCTGAATGGGGAGCCATGAGAAGAAACATATACCCACCGACATTAAGTAAATAAGCAAACACATCAATTCGGTTAATAAGATACATGCGTAGGACATGCCAACAGGACGATGCATACGAGATGAGGTTGGGACGGACCAGGATTAGCATGCTCCTTCTCGATTATTTGAGTTCGGTGCGAAGTAGACATGGAACAGAATATGGCTTAAATCGATCAAACTGAATTTTACATTACCTCTTCTGTTGAAAAGATAGATTGACGGATTGAGATTTTATATAATACATTTTTAATGTTGTAAATGATATACTTAGGGTAGTCTGAGAAGTTCTCTTTTTGCTGATTTAAAGGTATGTGAAAAGTTAGTAAGCACAAGCAAAGATTTATGTGAATGTAAAGTAACAACTTATTCATTTTATAAACTATATTTAGGGTATTTTCATCTTCATTTTATATACTTTATATTTTATGTAATATTATATTTTAAGTTGTAAATACCCCTAAGAACGTTTCCAAAAATCTATAACTTACAAAGCTGTGTTACCAACTCGAAATGGGCCATAATTGTGAAATGTTATAAGCCCAAAAAGGCATTTACAAAAATTCTCTTTTATCTTAATAACGTTTCTTTCACATTTACTCGCTGTTAGAGAAGCCTAAAAGAATGGTTCAAAATCCCCATGATTCATGAGTGGTATTCATAAATTGAGTTAGCAACATAAAACAAATGGCATAGGGCTAGGCTAACGCAACGAGCCGCAAAAAATGACACCTTCCTACATGCCACAGGATGGCAGAGATACTCGACAACGCTGCCACGAATCCCGGCCAGCTAATGGAACGGTCTTGTTTGGTACAAATGCTTTGCATTATTGGGGCATCATGGAACGCGGTAAGGGACTGGTAACGAGTGGAGGAGTTCCAGTCCACACGGAGGATACACGTAAGTTACATAAGTCAGTCACTTGCCAGTGGGAAAATTGCTGAGAGTGCCGAAAATACTTGCAGGCATCGGAGGAAATTGTTTATAGAGAAAGGCAAAGGGCCGGCCTGAATCGCCCGGAACCTGCATAAATATTCCAAACACATACCGAGTATTCTATCTGCCACTGTGTGCCTCGTTGTGTTGCGTTGTGTTGCCATAAATGCTTCATCTTCAACTCATACATATTAAAATCTGGCAAAATAAACTTCAACAGTTCACAAAGCACCGCCACACACAACACAAACATGCTGGCAGGACCCTCAGGTCGCAAACAGGGAAGGGGTTGGGTCGCTCATGCATTTTAAAATTCCAGCCATTAGAGAAACCAAGTTATTTTGTATGCATAATATTATTCGAGTTCTTCTAACTCGTTTCATGTTGCTTGTTGTTTCTTGTCGTGTTTTGCTTGACATTGCATTTAATATTTTTTGGCAGCACAAACCGCAAAACACTTTGTAAGTTGACAGTGGCAAGAGGTGAGTCTGTGGTCTGAAGTCGAAGGAATTAAATGTTTTTCCTTCAATTTGCTGTATAAATCAGTTTTAAATGTTTTAGAGTAAAATAAACTAAATAAGAGCATGTCCGGCAAGCGAGAGAACACACATTTCTACTTAAATTGGTTCACAACCCATCGTTTAACAATACACGCCCTTCGAGCCGAAAAGGCAAGCAAGGACAATGGCAAAAAGACGTGTTTTTTGGGCCTCAATTTGTTATTGTTAAAAAGGTTTTCCAAAGCACAAAGGCAAGGTATTTGGGGTCGTAATAAATGTTTACCTGAGTTAGATCGCCTACACAATATCATAAAGCTTGGGCAAATAACTTAATACTTGGCTTTCAATAAAGAAATACCTCCATCAATAAGAGGGGAATTTTATTTCATTAAGTGGAATCATTGAAAAATTATTGAAAATTTAATTGGCTTTATAGTTTATTAAGCCAGCCACTTAACTATAATTACCAATAATTAAATTAGCCTTTGAATCGATTGCAAAATATATAAGTAATTAATTATGTATATTCCAAAGCTGCTATTTTTCTCTCAATTAAAAATATTAATATTCTCATAATGAATTTTTAAACAAACGACATAGAATTGAACCTAGAGAATCAGTGATAAACGAGCTTGATTTGAATTTGAATATTTATTTAATTCAGCAAAATCGAGCGGTAGAATCTCAGGACATTGTTTGTTTGTGAATATGCATAAATCCCTCCTTGATAGCATTCGAATATATAAAAGAACTCGGCTACAAAGAATGTTGTGTCCATAGTGCGGGCGAGCCCAGAAATTACAACAAAAGGTAATTTAGCAGTAACAACTTCAAGGCAAACACTTAACTTACCTGCGGCTGTATATGTGTGTGCTGCGGAGGTGAACTCATTCACCTGCATGATGGGAAGTAAAAAGCAATTTTCGTAACATTTGCATGCCTTAAACTAACACAGACGAATAGAGCGCCGGCAGGATAAGGATGAAGCTCCTGACGATGGCGCTGGCGCTGGCGGGATGGTAGGAAAACCTACCGGCCTACCTCTTGGCTCAACGGCGGTGGTGGGGTGAGTGTGAGGAGTTCGAGGTTGTGCGTGCGAGTGTTGGTATAAGTAGAATGGAGTACGTGTTATGCTGAAAATGCAATTTGCCTTCTGTGCGAAATGTACGGAAAATTTATGCAAATTTATCCCTTGACCCCCACAGTGTCGCTCGTGTCCTCACTTTACGCGCTCCCGTCCATAGCCCTTCGCAAGCAAAGCGGAAACAGGAAGTGCGACCATTGTTCCTGCGCGTATGTGTTTGTGTGTGTGCATGCTTACACTGTGTGTGAGAATTTGTGAAAGCACTAAAATGAAAATATAGTGAAATATGCGATGGAAGGGAAGGAAGGGAAAGGAAGAGGTCTCCCCGCAGCTAGAATGAAGTATGCTTTACACAGGCCTGATAGACGATGGAAATTATCTACAAATCTTGTATTTAATATCTTAATTTCTCATTAAATAAAAAATATAATAATTATATATAGGAACTTACCTTTTATTTTATTTAATTGTAAATATAACAACTCTAAGTGACGAGGAACGAACAGTGTTAGTTAGTTTTTGGAAATCTAACAAAATAACCTCTTTTTAAACTGGTTAAGGACATTTTTCTAAACATTTCCTCATGAAAATGATATAATAAATATGAGATAAATGATAATTAGGTTCTTTATCGAAATATAGAAGTAATTTTTGACACATCTTATAAGAATAGCGTCTTAAAAGTACATATTTATTAATATTTTTAGCTTTTAGTGTTCTTATTATAAATGACCAACGAAAAGTGACCCATTACAGGGTATTCAATGGGAACAATCTACAAATACGACCAACCAGATGCAACAACTAACGAAAACAACAAATACAACAAAGAACAGCAACTGGGAACGCGACTGGGACCGCGGCAAAAAAATATGTGTTCACAACGTGGTGTAAATTCGCCATCGATAGTTTTGACATTACGTATACGCAGTGAGGGTCGTGTGTTACTGCCATTGTGGCACCCCCTGCGGCACCACTCGGCGGCAGCGCAACAAAATGGGCCAGACCACGGCGACACAACGTTAAAAGCGAAAAAAATCGAAGGATAAAAGTGGGAAAATATTGCAAACATGGCCACATTGGTGAGCACCACAAGAAGCTGAACCTGGCCAATGGCAAAGAAATTTGTGTGTGTGTTTGTGAGCGGCGGTGGAAAAAAAAATGAAAAGCCCCGGTTAGTTCAACAGAGCCATTCGCTACGGTATGTGTGTGTGTGTGTGTGTGGAAATGCACATGGGAAAATTAGTGGTCGTTCTGTAATAGATTTTGGAATAATACAAATATTGCATTTCTAGACGAAATAGAAAAGTTGTGAGGAACTAATTAAGTTAAATAAAGGGTTGGGTTTCTATAATAATAATATATGCTATTCTTGAAGTCGAAGGATAGACTTAGCAAAAGGCGCTTTAACCACATAAGACTTTTTAGTGCAAAGCATACATAATGATACTTAAATATTGTTCGATTTTTAACACACTATGCCGGTTCCCCAAAGGGTGTTATACTTTTGATTTAACATTTCGAGTTGTTGACCCATTTTATTGCTATTTTTCTGTGCGTGCATGTGCGGAATTGTTTATATTGCGTTGCACGTGCCTTTGACATGCCGATCCCTGGCATGGTCCCCGTGCCTATTTATGGCTCCTGGCTCTCCTCTGTGTGGCGAATGTGAGTGTGGGAATGTTTGCCAGTGTTTTGGCTTTTGGGCAAAGAAGTTGAAGCGTATTAGGCAAACACAAGCCTCAGGCATTTGGTACAAACACACACTAACACACACGTGTTGGCTTCCAGAATGCTTGAGTGTGTGGGGAGTGTGAGGGTGCTGGTGAGGGTGCTGTTGACTCCTCCTGTCGGTGTGAGCCAAGTGGCAGATAAACGACCATGCTTAATGCGACCAAATCTTTTTAACGCCGCATCAAGCCATTTTTCAATCCCGATCTGGGCGCAAAGATTAAGTTGTCTCTAAGTCGTAACACAGCCGGAGTCCTTT